CCGACATGGCTGTGCAAATGGCTAAACTTTTGGAAGTTGCTGAAAGCACGAAGGCCAGCATCGATAGTTCCAACCAAGTTCAAATGAAACTTCTAGCTTTTCTGGAAACTAAGTTCTAATGCATGCGTAATTCCTCACATATGTGGTATGACTTAGTGATATGGATATAGATATATACGTATACGGTCCTTAGTAGGGACATCAGGGTACTAATTGCGAATGAAAAAAGTGTTTTACTAATATCACTACAATAAAGCATAGAGATGGTTTTTAATTGTGTCTCGAGCGCGCTCCGCTGCAGCACCATCTACTTGGAATAACTCGTCATCATCTACAATGTCACCGCCGATATGCATCCACCCGGGGTACGTCTCAGGCTGTGTTGGAGCCACAGCCTCGTTGTCGTAGTCAATGTACCAATTATGCAAGACCAACGTAACTTCAATCAATCTTGCCATGTCGTGGGGGCAGTGGTGCAACAATTCATGCTTGAAAATGCGAAATTTGTTTTTCCAACGGCCAAAAGCGCGCTCAACAACCATGCGGCTACGGCTGTGGATCCAGTTATAGTTGGCTTCGTCTGTAGCCATGCTCGAGACGATCGAATACGGGGTCATTACGTGCGTGAAAAGCTTGTAGCCAGCGTCACCAAGAAAACAGCCTCCGGGGGGAACTCTTGTGTGACACGTTTGCCCAAATAACGATTCGTTGAACATGGCTTTGTCGTTCTGGCTTCCTGAACGCAGCGAGTACGACATAAATCTCATGCGGTGGTCGACAACGTCTTGCATGTTAAAAGCCGGAAAACCCTTACGGCAATACCAGCCATAAAAGTCTTCAAATCGCTTGATTTGAATGAGGCTCCCATCAATAGCACCATATGCATTTGGGAAGCCGTGTTCTTCGAATCCCACGCGAACAACCTCCCACTCCTCGCGCGACGACGGCAACACGATGGTTTCCAACACGTAGCAAAGTTGAATAACCAAAGCAACTTGGTTGCAGTACTCATACGCTCGCGTCTTGGAAATGCCGAAAAGTGCGGCCGTTGACTCATATCCGTCTGAGTGAGTGAGATAGTGGAGGGTGCATGCAACGCGGTCGTTAACGCTCATCGTATTGTGGTGGTGAAGAGGAGGGTGTACGCGCTGCCACGCAACTTCGATGTTTTGGCAGATGCGCTGGTACGTGCCTCGCGTGCACCGCAGGTGTCGTATGAACCATGCGTCGTGGATGGGGCTGTTCTGCACGATGGTCCACGTGTTACTCGGGATGACGATGTGGTTGGTGATGGGGGCGCGGAAACTACGACCGTCCATTGTCGAGAATACTGCATCAAACGCAACTGCAACAGCGACACACACTGCTATAGCGTCGTCCATGTGGATATATCGGAAGTCAGGTTGCCCAATCTCTGATTGGTGATACTATGCTTTTGTTTAGACCAATCAAACAAATATCTACCTCATTCTCTTGCGAATGACCTCCTGGAGGTCATTCGGAAAAACAAGTCTGCGAATGGGGTGGACTGAAAAATTCAAGGTTTTGATTGGCTTAACCTCGTCTGAGATTTTACTCGGAACAGGCTCTAAATGTACTACCGGTAGTATGTCTTACTAGACGTCAATGCAAAAATCAAGATGTTTTGAAACTAGTTGGCATACTATAATCAAGTCAAACAATTGGACAGTCATTCGAGAATGCAAAATGGTGTCACGTTAGTACTCGTACTACGGTAGAGTGAAAGGTAAAGTGACTGGTAAGTTCGTCATGTACTAGTACAGCTGTTCAAGCACTTTAACAGGGAGATGCGGGAACTGGCGAAAACTCATCATAACACGAAGTTATGGAAGGCCAAAATCGAGGCATTCATGATTGGCGAAAGCGAAACTGGAGTTTCCTCGCAGTCATCCAACTTGTTGGGGAGGGACATTGGCTGCTGTACTGACACGCTTTCTATCTGCATGTGTGATGCCTTGCATTCAAAAAATTCGCGCCGTTTCACATTGAAAACACAACAGTTCCGGATATTTCATCACTTTTGCGGATGCAATATTTTTATTGTGCATGTGCATGTTTTTGTGGTACTCCGACGACATGTCGACATGCGCATATATCGAAAATGGACGAACTTTGAGGACGCTTTTCTCGAGCTGTGTAATACTTAGAGCAATACTACTCGTACTACAAGATAGTCCATTACTAGCTCAGCCTATGCAGCATGGTCTGCACATACACAGCTCACTCTGGCATGAGGCATCTTACCCGCATGTACACGCTTGTTCTTGAAATACGACGAATTTGCCAAGTTCGAAGCTGTCTTTCTCTACAGCTGTTGATTCAGGCGACATGCAATAATTTGTTCTTGATAGTATTGGTTGTTGATATGAGGAATGGAGAGTTTCGTGACCCGTTGTGCAATATGCATTGAGAAATCGCTGACCTGCATCGCGCCTTTCCCGCATGTACGCCTGCGCAATCTGCAGGATGTATAAATCGTTTGGGCAAAACGTAAATAATTATGGAGATGAATAAAAATACGCAAACTTAATACAAATATCAACATAAAAATGTTCAAGCGAATAATAATATGTAACTGTCGCACGCATGTACACGTCGTTTGATTCCGCGGACGTGGCAGATTCAGTTCCTGGTTGACTCACACACGACAACTTGAATAAAGATGCATGTATCCCCTCGACAATGGTACACCACGATTTGAAGGAATCAAGGACATTGAATTCTTCATAGTGATGTGTTTGAGTCTTGTTCCCGCATCTCCCTGATGCAGAATTCGCTGCGTTAATCTGCTCGTCGAATTTCTAAAATTGAAATTTTCCTATGTGAATTTAATTCCCGGCCAGTAAATCACTTGAATGATGTATGCCTGATTTGGGCGCTGCTGAAGGGATGTCGACGCAAGAAACCTTGGGAGGTTGCTCCTTAGATGTGCCCATGGACATGAGCGTGGAGAACTGTTTCTTCTTTCCGCAAGCACCAGCGCGGGTTGTATTCAGCATAGGGTCCCACGACACAGCGGTGGAGTCGTTGTCCCTTGCACTGCATCACGGAGCAATGCCAAGCGCCCATGCAAATGTGGCATCGATATCCGTCATATCCCACCTAGGGACTGAACTGGAGCTACAGGGTCACGTTGATGGAAGTCTGCATTTGCTGCATTACCAAGATCGCAGAGTGTTGCTTCGCTACGACCTGCCCAAGAACACAGACCCGATCACACAAGTTTCGTTGCACGTTGCGGAATCAAGACTTGAAATTGTCGTTCTCCTTCGCAGTGGCAAACTCTTGTCGGTCGAAGGACTATGCGTGGATGACATTCTCCTCCAATCCCCACCCGTTCCCATGTCGACATACTAAATTTAATTAAGTGCAACTAGGAGTAACGTTATGTAAATTAAAACTATATTATTACGACAAGCTCAATATTAAATCTTACAAGTACTAGTTTTGATACAAGAGTATGCAATTTTGTCCAATCATAGTCCATCGATGATTGTGATTGGCCATTTGCTGGCCGGGAATTAAGGAAAATTCGTAACGTTTGGAGAATACGATAGTACTGGCCAATGCGGCAAAGTGTCTCCGTTGCTGTAACAATTGTCTGATTATTGGGTAGTTACGAAAACTCTTACGAAACCCTCCCGGACTTGATTTAATATAAGTACTTGGAGTATTCTATGAAATAGAAGTACTTCGAAGTAAAAACTTCAAGTAATTGCTAACAGCATCGCCAGTTGCAACTACTACTAGTAATAACATAACGTTATCGAAGTACTGAGCTTAGTGTGACCCTAACAGCACGGGGGGACACCAGCTATCGGCCCCATCCGCAAACTAACTGCGCAGTGTGTACTACCTAGTATGTACGAACCAGCTCCAAATTCAGTCCACCGTGATATACATGAACATCCTCCTTATACGTCCATTGGTCAACTACACTGTACTATGTACTAACCCCAAAACTCGTCATTTACCGCAACATGGTGCCTTGCAACGCACTACGAG